TCCACGGATTCCGGAAGTGACTTGGGCTCCACTCCTGGTTCGCCATCGGACGACATCTCAAAAAGGAGAGAACTGCTGCTTCGAAAGATGAACAAGAAGAAGGCTATGAAAACGACACCAGAACCCGAAACGAAGAAGAAAGGAAAACAAGCACGTGTATGGGAACTGAGTGGAGACGTCAAGAATGCCACCGAACTCGACTACTCCGGTGAGAAACCACAGGAGAATGGTGAACGCAATGATGAGGATCTGGCTTTTGTGAATGAACAGCGCAAGTTTGTCGGAAAATCGGCGCAGCTGCAAGGATTTTCGGATGAAGAAAGCGAAGAAGAGGAGGAGATAGTCGCCGCGAAAGCCACTGGTGGTTGGTTTGGTGCATTCAAGAACCTCGTCGGCAACAAAAAACTCAGCGCAGAGGACATCCAGCCGGTGCTTGAAACAATGAGGGAGAACTTGATCTTGAAGAATGTGGCAGCTGAGCCAGCGGACAAAATCTGCCAAACCGTTGGACGTAAGCTGGAGGGCAAAGTTGTGAGCACTTTCAGTCGCGTCAGTTCCGAAGTGAAGGAAGCAGTTCGAGAATCGCTCACACAGCTGCTCACTCCAAAACGCCGTGTGGACATCTTGAGAGACATCGCTGAAGCGAAGCATGAGGGCAGACCCTATGTGATTGTGTTCTGTGGTGTGAATGGAGTTGGAAAGAGCACGAACTTGGCGAAGATCACATTTTGGCTGAATGAAAATCAACATCGCGTACTCATAGCTGCTGGTGACACTTTCCGAGCTGGAGCTGTAGAACAGTTGCGAACCCACACCAAGCATCTCAACGCTCTTCATCCGAACTCAGTTCAGCTATTTGAGCAAGGTTATGGAAAGGATTCGGCTTCCCTGACGGCTGCTGCCATAGGCATTGCAATCGAACGAGCTATCGATGTAGTTCTTGTGGATACCGCTGGTCGCATGCAAGATAACGAGCCTCTAATGCGAGAACTTGCAAAACTGATTCGAGTGAATGAGCCTGATCTGGTTCTGTTTGTTGGAGAAGCGCTTGTCGGAAATGAAGCCGTTGATCAGTTGGTGAAGTTCAATCAAGCGCTTGCGGACAACGCTACGCCGGGTGCCGCGCCTCGTCTCATCGATGGTATTGTTTTGACGAAATTCGACACTATCGATGATAAGGTTGGAGCTGCTGTTTCTATGACCTACATTACGGGACAGCCAATTGTGTTTGTCGGTTGTGGTCAGACGTACTCGGATCTCCGTAATCTCAACATTGGCGCTGTTGTTTCTGCTCTTCTCAAGTGATAAGTAATACGCTAATTGTTCATTGACCATTAACGCATTTTATCCTCTCCTAGTCTTCTTTGTTGTTTCTTATATCTCACATCAAATGCAGGCATTTACAATTGCCTATATCGTTGCCTGTTCAGGTCATATTTTCGATTAGAGCTGTGAGATTTCTATCTTGGTTACGAGGTTGGTACTGTGTTAA